TGATCGACAAACGTATATAGGAAAGTGGAAGGATACCTTGCAAAGTATGATTTGCCCTTCTATCCACCGTTACGGAGAGAGCTAATTGTGCTGGAGTGAGTGTCAAGCTCTCAGCAGCCGAGCCAATCGGGAGTGTATCGTGCAGGAGGGGATGCGGATTTGGGTGCGTAGAGATATTTGTTCAAGCGAAACAGGCCCTACGACAGAGGGTATTTGGCTCGGCACGCGCGTCCCCTCAACGAAGCACGAACAACGTCGACCTACGTGAGGGGATCATATTTCTAGTTTTCCGTATGCAACCACAACCAACCTTGTCCACACCTGACGGTCCCGAACGTCAACTCCCCCGCCAAGTCAGCCACCTCCGTCACCAGGGTAAGCGTGCGTAGCAGGGTCTCGCGGTTTGCGCGAAACCCTACCGTCAGAGCGGCGCCGGTCACGTCGAACAACTGTAAGCAAGGATTGGTGTAGGGGTTAGGACTGTCGAGATTTTGGCACGACCTGGCGGACTGTCGCAAAGCCTCACCATCGGAGACGTATCTATTATCTAGTACATGTGTCTGGCATTGATTGAGGGGAGAGGAGCGAAGCGGGCCTCGATCGAAAACCATTCACTGGGTGGGGGGGGGTGTACTCATAGTCGTGCATGCCGTAGTCGTTAGACCATTGACCTCGCATCCCTACAAAGCCGGGACGGAGCACGCCGGGTTCTCACCGGACCAGGCTCTCACATCACCAAGCGCGAAGCGCCGTGAGATATTCGGCGAGTCGCATGAAGGGTGCGCTGCATCCTGCTAAGGGTGTTCGGCATCTTGTGCTTACTTCCTTGCGTACGGATGACAGCTGCGTATGAATTAATTTATTTTCTGGTGCTTTCACTTCCAGAGACAGTTGTAAGCACTGTGTAACTGCCTCGAGGGTGCTTGACCATTTTAACACAACGTGGTGCGATCATCCCCCTTGCGCGGAGTGAGGGTTCTCCACCCCGCACAACATGATCTACTCGACCACCATTATGGTTACCGCCAAAAAAAAAAAACGGAGGAAAAAAAAAAAAACGGTAACCTGGTTGCCGAGTTCACGAAGTGAATTGGCTTGTTTTACAACGTCGTTGCCAAGCGACGAAAACCCAATCCCGATGGCAAACACCGGGGGGGGCGGCTTGTTTTACAACGTCGTTGCCAAGCGACGAAAACCCAACCCCGATGGCAAACACCGGGGGGGGTATAGTTTTACCAAAAATCAATGCAGAGCGATGGACTCCGTGTTTTTCGTGTCTTGCGACCAAAGGACAGTACGAACCTATAGGATACAAGGTGTCCAGAGACAGAGCGTGTGGCAGATACCTAAGAACATTAAATATTGGTCTCCTGGCTGGTGTCAATACAAAGAATGAGTATTTGGGAGAGTTTGGCATAGTACCCGGGGCTCATGGGAAAGTGCCACAGCATGCCTTGAACAAGAACCCAGTGCTCCACTTTGGCTTGACATGACGAGTCCCGAGCCTACTTGGTCCGTGGTTCTTGTACAAAAGGTCAATGGTACCGTTTTCCCGGAAATTCGGAGCAGGGTACACGCTTTTCGTAGAAAATAGAGTTTGTTGCTGGTGTATTACTCGCATAGGTTGAGCCGATGTCGCATAGAGCTGGTGTGGGTGTCCAAACGGGGCCATAAATGTCTCGACTTGCCTCGACTTGGTTGCCCCCGTGCTTTGCGGCCGCCGTCGTGATGGTCACGATGGTATCTTTCAGCGCCGCGCGGTCGATGAACAACCACGGGCCAGCACCCTTGCCGCCCCTGCCGGCAGTACGTTAGTGAGATGTCCTGAAATGTTCTTTGGGGAATATCAGCGCTTGATTCACTGCGGTGTCCGGCATTGGTGAGGTGCGTTTGAGTGATGCTGAGAAGAGACCCCACAGCAAGTAGCCCGTGCCTGCTACTGGACCCTTCAGATTGTGCCCGTCAAAAGGAGGGGTTCCTTATTGATTGGTTGGTTTGTAATGCTGACCTCCTGGGGAACATCATGCACGATCTGTCCATACGTGAATACGCCCAATATTTGAGTTTCGCTCACGTACCGACCACACCTTTCGGCCCACTGCCGGCTCAGCCAGACGAAAACGTGCCTATTCTATATCACAACTCAACACCCCAACAGATGTATCAGTAGTCCACCATCACCAGCGCCAGCTGTGGCACGGCGACGGCAGCGACAACAGACTCCAAGATCGTGTGAAGGAGGAAATCGTCCTCGACAGACGTTGGGGAGATGTCGCTCTTCCTGATGGTCATATCCATTCTTCCGCATCCCCGCTCTACATGTATGAGCCTCTTTGGGCTGCTCTTTATCACCGCAATCAGACATCTCACCGCCACGCTACGGTAGTGTGAAAGGAAGAAATCGTCCACGACAAACGTTGGGGGGGATGCAACATTTTCTAGATGTCCTCTCCACAAACCCTTGTAGTTGTTTCTCCACGTACCTCCGTCTGCTGGCACCATATTTCTTCACCATTTCCGCCGCCGCCACCGCGTTCGTCGCCGCGGACTCCCCCTCCCCGCCAAAAATCTCCTCGACCGACGCGATGGCCTTGTCCAGAGGAACGAGGTGGGCCGGCGTCGGACCCTGTCTAGGCTCCGTTCGGCACGGCGTCGCGTGGCTTTCCACCGCGGCAAAAACCCGGAGCCACAGACACTCTTCGATCTCGGAAAACCCATCCTGTCCGCCACCGCCGTCGCCGCTGCCGCTCTCGGTTGGGCTTCCAGTTGCGTCGCCGGCGTTGCTGTTGTGGGCCGAGGCGGCGGAGGGGTCGATCTCTCCTCGCCCACCGAAGCCGCCGGCGCTGCTACCGTCCCTGTTGCTACCTTCGCCGTTTCTCACGCAGAGCAAGCTCTGTTTTGGCGGCGGCATTCGCACGGGTGTGCAAGCACGGGTGTGACGCAGAACGACAAGTCCACGACGACGACGACAACGGCGGCGGCGGGGGTAATACGAGTGAACAGAAACTACCTACACACGCAATGTGTGCAGAAAGCGGTAGGAAAGCTATGATGACGCCAAGCGTGTGCTGGTAGGTTGTAATCCGCCGTACGATGTTTCTCGTTCGAAAACCTCCCGCGCAACGACGGTCCAACCCCCCGTTTCCTGTGATGTATGATCCCCCTTCCCCGATCGTTACGGCTCATCACCAGTCCTTCTCTCTTCACACCTGGAACTGCTTCAAGGCCGTCTTCTCGTGCCCCGCGACGGACCTCGGCAGGTGCCCGTAGCCCGGCGGCCGGAACGTCGGCTGCGCCGGTACCGTCACCCCGGCCTCCTCCGCCGAGGCCGCCAGCTGCCGCGCCCGCGGCGACGACAGCGGCGGAGGAGGCGGCAACCAGAACAAGAGCGAGGCAACAAGCCTCCGGACCGCTGATCTCGCTCTCCCCACCCTGCCGGACCGCCTCAGCTCCGTCTCGTACAGGAACTGCCCCAGCCGTCGGGGGCGCAGCAGGCTCGACGCCGCCGGCACGGTCGCCGCGGCCGCCACAGCCCTGTACGACGGGGATGCGGCACCGCCGGCGGCGGCTTCCCGGCGGTACGCGACTAGCGCGCGGGCGGCGGCGATTACGCAGGAGTGGCAGCCGGCGATCCCGAGCACGCCCTGGCTGGAACGGATGACGCCGACCTGGTCCACGAGGCTCTTCATCCCCACCAGCTGTGTTTTTTTGTGCGTTTTGGGTTCATTTGTTTTTGGTCCGATAGTGTACCGCAGATTATTGGAGGCAGCAGGAATGCACGACGGCGGGGGGGATTCTCGAAGACAGAAGCTCATGACCATGGCATGTTGGGCTTACGGTCGATCTAAATATGTTATGCAGTACCCGAAACCCCGCAGTGGTGCTAAATCCTTGCCAGGGGTGTAGGGTGTGGGGTTGGGGGTCTAATCAGGGTTCTATCGCAGCCAGCGAGCCCCCGGGGCGAGCACCCGTGGGAGGCTCTTTGAAACTACCGGGGTTGAGTAAACAACATGAAACGTGTGGAGGTCACAACAATCGACAGCGAGAGCTGTGCGAACAGCTGAGTTACTTCAAGAACGTTGTAGCATCCCTCGAAAGACAGGGAGTTGAGCGTTTGATTGCCTGATCCCGATCGATGCGTGGGAGAGAAAAAAAGCAAACGAAACACAGGAAATGTAAAAATACATAATAAAAAACTAGCCTCCAGCAGCCCCGGGAATGGCCAAGGAGTCGTTGGTGCAGGATCCGCCAGGAGGGACAGGATGACCCCTTCGGCCCTCCCGCACGCCTGCTTGTGGGCGTTGTTGTTTGACGATCGATCCACACAACAGCAGTGAACGTTTGCAAGCGGCGAGTGGGGATGACAGCAGCAGCAACAGCATTTTGTATGGATTCCGCCACGAAGTGTGGCGGTGGTTGAACTCTTACACCGGCAGAAATTCCTGTCTTAGGGATAAACGAAGGAATGGCTATAAGGAATGGCTATGTTTCGCGCTCAGACGAAATGTTCTCGACTCTTGACCGTTCGCTCCATGCGCTGAGATGCACACAAAGATTAGCGCCAGGAAAATCTTTGTGGGAGGGGGGGCAGGGCACGGCCTGCTCCGACCGACCGCCGAAAAGAAAACATGTTCTTGTTCACGGATACATCAAACAGATAGAAATCATGTGCTGGGAACCCTCTTACGACTGATGACGCGGTTTTTCGTTTGATTTGGTCGCCCTACTTGTACGTGCCGATAATCTTGGGGGCCATCGGATCGTCTTCCTTTTCAACGTGCACATCGTCAAGAAAATATTGCCCCAGACTCCCTCCGTTTTCCGGGGTGCGCGCTTTGTTCCTCGAAACGCTAAGACTCCATGGGGTTGGGGGACTGGGGGTCGGCTGTTTGGTCGGTGGTTGTACGTCTACAAGCTTTGCTAGAGTTCTGGCCTGCCTGAAGGAGATCTTTGGCGTGTTCTTTTGCGTCGGCCTCGACCTTGGCGGCCCTTTCCTCCGCTTGCTTCGTCTCGTTCTTCAAAGCTTCCGCCCGCAAGGCCGCCTCGCGCCCTTGCTGCACAAGGACGTCCATCATCTTGCTGTCGGCCAAACTGCGTTTGCTCACGACTCCTGTTTTGGAAACTCCTGCTGCTGCTGCCGCCGCCGCTGTTGGCGACGCCGACCGCGGTGACGAGGAACTTCCTGCCGTTCTCTTCGCCGTAGCTTTTGCTGTTGATATTCGTTGTGGTGATTGGGGCCCACCGCCGCCACCGCCGCCGCTTTGAGCAGTCCTACTTCTGCCAATCACACTCGTCCGGACGGTCATCGGCGACGTTCCTCTTCCGCCACGGTTCGATAGGTCCCCGCTACCGGCGACGCTGTCGCTGCTGCTGCTTCTCTCGACCATGGAGGAGTTGAAAATGCTGCCACCACTGACCATGGAGGAGTCGGAAATGCTGCCACCACCGTCATCGGCATCATCTCTGCGGACGCACCAAAGCCCGGCCGCATGTATCCTGTTGAGGTCTCTCTCGAGCGCTTCCTATAAAAGGGTTTTTTCAATATTTGATTACGCGCGCGGGGGGGGGGGTTGAAGTTGAATTTCGCTTTGAAAGTGATGGAGGCTCAAAAGAACCCTTCGATGTACGCTCCTAGCACCTGTCCGATCCGACGCACAGCCCTGCTGCAATCAATCCGCTTTTCTGCCCCGAAGACTGTGACCCGGAACTCTCAGCTCTGAATTGGTCAAAACCCCGCATCAGAGCTCAAAGTTCCTGCGGTCTGTGCACCTTTTGTGACCCTATGTGCATAGAGAACAAAGAGCAATAAATCAAAGAGTGTTCCTCTCGAAACGTATTGCTCCGTCTTCTAGCAAATTGATTACTTGGGGGGCTTACGCCTCGAGTTTGATATAATCCCGACTAGAGGACGTTTGACGTCCATAACATGTTGCGAGGGGACCTGAGGAGACAAAGGAGGAGCTGAGACGACCGCAGCCTGTTGCTGTGTCGGAGGAGGGAGCGGGAGCGGAGGTAGGACCTTCGCCAACACCGAGTCCCCGTACGTCTCGAAGTGCGGTAGCCATTGCTTGAGGGTCGCCACCTGGTTGTTGGTATGGAACGGGCACAATTTCAAGTTGGCAGGGGGCAGAGTTGGTGAGCCGGGGAGGGGCGCGGAGGTGCACAGCCTCAGGAACGAAAACAACAATCTCGTCGTCCACTCGGCAGGAAGCTTCGCAAATGCAAGATACGGTGGAGCAACAAGTTTGGTCCCGACCTCTGTGTGGAGCTTTCACGGAGCGGATTGAGTCTTCGGTCAATTGTCACTGTGCATGTACCGTATCTGTACCCACGTCCTGGTCTTTCTACAATGCTGGACTCGACAACACGATGTCTGACTGCGGGCGGTCCGAAGCTACCGAAGCGACGAACATGGAAGGAGTATCAGGTGTACCAACACATGAGTCGTAAAACATTCGAGGAGTGTGCCGCACACCCGCACAGGTGGAAATCGGCGACTACGCCACCCAAATCAACCTTTCTCTCCTGTCACGTCTGGCTATTGCTCCTGGCACGGGTTAAATTGATACAATGACCGCGGTTTATTTTAGGAGAAGCGACACAGCTTGTGTTATTGAGGGTCCGTATAGTATTGTTTGTGTTGGTCACGGTTGTTGTTGGTGGTGGAAGTGGTAGGAGTGGTGTTGTGGTGTCTGTTGTCGTCATTTTTGCTGCCCTTCCCACCCCGCTCACCGTGCGTTCATTTTCGGCAACGATACTGCCGTAGCGAACCTCTTGGTCCTTGAGTTGCCGAACCTTCTTGGACCATCTGGTGCAGGGAGAGAATAAGGTGTATTCACAGGCAGGCGCAGACCAACAACAATGCGCACGCGCGCACGTTTTTGTATTCGGTTTGGTGTTTGTTTCGGACCTTCCAAAGAAACTTGATGCTTTTGCGATCCACCGGCTAAAATTTGACACGGAGCTGTAGCATCACCAACAACATCGACGTCAACAAGAACGGTGACAAAAATTGCGTGCGCTGCCACGTCCACCGAGACATACGCGTATACGATACCACTCTGGCTACGAACAACGACCCAACACCTACTCTACCCTCTATCTCTCTGTTTCTGTCTGTCTTTGTCCCGCTTTTTGCGTCTCGCCCTCTCAAAACCGTTTTGGTACCTGTTACAGAACCGATATGCAGGTAAACAGTTCTTGTCAGAGTCCTCCCACCTTCCAAGAGCTTAAACAGCCCACGATGTGATGAACCTTTGAAATTGTTCCGGGCTATAAATGTTTGGGGGAAAACCTTGTCCCGGCTTTAAGAAGGGCGGGGTATGCATGCTCCTTTCAAGTTAAATGTGCACATCGCTTTCAGCTTCCCACTTCGTCCCAATGCTCTCTCACCACTTGAGCTACGTTGAAATGTACGAACTGGGCCGGTGTCTGCGCCCTGTGGAAAAAATGGGCACCCCTCTCACGGCTGCTGCATATTAATTTGTCCGCTTGACTGCTTATTCTTCTGTTGCTTTCTCCGCATGTATTCCCACAAATGATGATGTGTGATCGAAGGCTCGACAACCAACCGTTGTGAACTATGCTCACCCCTTCACCATTAGCTTGGTGCAGGCCTGCATTGGAATGTCACCTTAACGTACTGCTGTGATAGGTTTGCCTTCGTTTACCGGGTGCAAGCCGCGCTCTAAGAAAAAAGGTGCTCACGAGCCAACACCACGTGTGATAGTCTTGCCTGCCGTTGACAAGCTCCTCCGTTAGCTGGAGCTCGTTCTTGTGCATCGTTTCTCGGCTTTCACTGTCGGCTCGCTCCTGCTCGACGACCGCGTTCATGACCTCTAGCCGTTCCTCGCACCTGCGATATTGTTGTTCCGCTCCAGTGAATAAGACCCAACGTTCACACGTGCGTCCAGCCCAACGACACCAACACACGCCCGTGGATCGACCGACACAAGGAACATAGTATTCTGCTCCTCTATCTCTGAGAACACACTCGGAATAATTTGTAGTCCATATCGTCATGCCTATCCGTCAACTGGCGATCGCCCGATCCACATGCTGTTCTAAGGGTTAGAGATCGAAACAGAGCGCTCCGTAGTCGTCCCCGAGCGCAGAAAAAATCTCTTTTGCCATCCGCCGCGCTTCATTCATGCCACAGGATATACATCGTGGTCACATGGTGTGCCTAGAAGGGAGCGCTGGGGCATCTCTACATCGGCAAGAAAAACCAACAACACTAATAACCATAACGACAATGACAAATGACACGTGACAAGGTAATGTACGATTCCAACCCCATCGCCGCCACCTCGACTAAACCTTGGCCAGTCCTATTCCAGCAGCTGTGGCAACAAACATGGAGCATCATGTAGCACTGCCAAAATACTATCTACCGTATTGCATACCTGGCGACGGTTCGCGACATTTCCCACAGAACAAACTCAAAGAGTTCGTTGAGAGACCGCCATATTCGATCAAGCAGCCGCCCTCTCTCCACGCAGTGCTGCGTGACCTACACTTTTGTTCCCCCAGACACATGCAAGCAACCAAACGAAACCGTCAGGTGCAACACCAACAGAGCAGCCGTGAGTCTGGCTCGTGAATGGAGGTGGCGAGAGGCAGATAGTAACTGCGCAAAAACCGACAGAGTGGACGATGAGCGGATATATTCCATGTCTTGTAATAGCCC